GGTTAGCAAATAGAAGTTTCATGCTAAAGTTACCCACTGAAGTACAATTAACTTCAGTTTTATCCAGGATGCTGTTGCTGAGATGTTTTGCTTTGCTTCTCATACATCTATCGTACAATGTAATCGCACTAGATTGTCTTTTAAGAATAGATAAATTTAGTACATTCAAATATAACAAAATCAAAACTTTCTTATTAGAAAACGATGTCGATTAATGAAGCATATATATTTTAATTTTTAAAGATTAGGTTAGAGATTTTTTTATTTCAAATTTTTAGCCAAGTCACAAAATAAAAAATAAGATTAATGGTGAATCAATATTAAATAATTTTATAACTATTAATATTAATATCCCTCAGCAATTAACTATTGTTTGTCTTACTGTTTGCTTCGTAATGCTTTTCGGTAAACTCAAGGTGCTTTGCTGCACATACCAACATACTTGACAGTTTTGACTACTTTGACATATTTCTCGTTTGTCGTGAATTCGTTGCTGCGCGCATGTCAGACGAAATCGTACACATATAATAATGTTGATGAGTGTAAAGCTGCAGAACGCGAACAATGAAATCGCTGTGGATTGCTCGAGCGAGCAGCTCCCATGGCGTAAGTCCGGTAATATTTAGTGATAAAGCGATGGGGTGAAATGAAGTGAACTATCTAAGGTATTCACAATACGTCCCGTGCACGTACAGCCGCAATGAATTATGATCTCGCGGCGTGCGCGTCAGTAGCTCTCAACGCTCCCGCGAGACTGCTTTTTACGCTCGTGCCGGCATTTTACGCGCGCGTTCCTCGTGCAAATTGCGTAATTTCTTCCGACTTTTTTTTATCACAACATTAAACTGTGTCAAGCGAGAACGCCCCAGGCCACCTACCGGCGAATTTTTATTATCTGCTCTATGCAAATGGACGCGCAAAATGACATTTAAAGCTAGTTTACGAATAAATCTCTATTTTAGTGCGTGTCCTGTAAGATAACAAAGCAGTCGTGATATTTCGCTATTTCACTTCAGTTTGCAACTTTTTCATTTATTTATACAATCAGTTATAGAAGCTTGTGGACAAATTGATAACATTACAAATACATTGCGACAATTCATGCAAGGCTTATATGCAGGCATTCATATTTCTTATATTTTAATATAGATCTATTTCTATTCTTTTCATCTGGACTTTCTGTACAATTTATCTTTCTTCTTTCTTTTTTACGTTGAAGAAAAAAAGAAGTAAAAATAAATGATACAAGAAACTAAAAAAACGACTTAAGTCCTATAATATTTTAAACCAATAACAGAGCTATATTAATATCTCAAATCATTATTTAAAACGAATTCTTGAAATAAAAATAGATGAAGGTACTAATAAAATAGAATTTTGTCGATTTTGGATTCGCAATAGATATTCTTTTTATAATTAGATCTCAAAAGATATATTTATATCGTTTATAAAATAGTAGTTGAAAAGAGACATTTATATCTAAGTAATACTAATTTATTTTATTACTTTATTTTATTTATTTCTGTTTTGTTAATTCTGTTATTTCTCTTATTATATAGGTGACTTTAGGTGCAATTTTGGCGAACAGATTTTATCTAATGATGACTTTAATTATTAGTTTGAAATATTTAAATTTCAAATTGCGTAACAAGCTAATATAATACAGTTTAGTATAAATAGTTTTGGATTGATTTTAAGTTATTATCGTTATATTCGCGATATAGATATAGCCAGTGCAACGTGATGCAGTAAAAAAATTGTCTAAAATCTGGTGACTTTGCACGAAAGTACTGAAAAACTGTGTGGTCCCTAATCATTCCCTATTTATACAGGTGAAGTCAGGTAGAAAGTCGAGTCTCTCTTACAAGAAAACACGTTATCTGTGATAATTTCGAAATTATATTATATATTCCGCGCTCTATGATGATAATAATAGATTATTTTGTGTTGAAATTACAAAACAAAAATTGATTTTATAATTGCAACCTCTAATTTTATATTATTTTTTACAAAACGTGAATAACTAAATAAAATTGACTAAAAAAGTTTATTTATTATTTGAACAAAAAAATTTTTGTTTCTCTAACAAAAAAGTATTCTATTTTGCCATTTTAATAAAACTGACCAAGGAAAATCAGCCATTTGTGAATAATTCCTTTTTATTGATATATTACTATAACTTTTTTTCTTAATGTTCTGCAACTAAGTGAATTTATAATTAAATGTCGCTTTCGACAATTCCGGTTTTAATGGACAAGTTTGATATAAGTTATATATTACATATGCGGCCCGAGGCTTAAAGTCGAAGAACAGATTTTTGCATAACGCATAACATATAAAACATAAAAAGATCAACCAATCAGAGTCTTTCATTTCATGAAAAGGAAGGAAATAAAGAATGATTGATTAATTTTCTTGACTTTGATTGGTTAATTTTTTTATGCATTAAGTTATGCGTTATGTAAGACTCTGTGCTCTCGCCCTTAAAATTCCCACCTTTAAAATTCGAAATTTTACGGATAAAGTTCTCGTTTGATATATACATGATATAGTATTTCAATATAAAATGGTTTTTATAATTAAATTAAACTCTTTCTATGTGAATTGTGTTATTTAATAAAAATTCAAAGCCATGGAGACATTAGATCACGATTGAGCACCACGGTTCATCCAGACTTTTCCCACGGCTCTAATATAAATTCCTCTTATGCTTGCTTTCTAGCGCACGGTTCGATATCTGATTTAAAGTTGATATAGGTCGACCGTTAATTTTTTCCCCATTTTATCGTCTGACATTTTTCGAAATAAAAGAGAATACGGGACCCGGGACCCAATTGCAATTCGCGATGCCAATAAATTTCCAACGCAGCTCGGGATTATCATTATACACGTTATCTGGTCGCTCATTGAAAATAAAATATATATTGAAAATAAAACCTTTTCATATCTTTTTCATCAAAAATGATAAAATTCGTTCACAGGAGAGACACTTTTAATTTATAAAAATTTCTTTCTGCACGAGAGAATCTAGATAATTATTGATTGCATATTATTGGATTTTAATATCGTTTTATTTTTTGACTCTTATAAGTTAAGCATAATTAATATCATTTCTAGATTATGATAATATCCAAATGACGTAATTCTCTGTAATTATGTTAAATTTTATTCTTATTTATAAAAGGTATTGCTTCGTGGAATGTGGAATATGTGATAGTTTTGATAACACAGATGTGTTAGACAATCGTTAGAAAAGCGTACCCTCATACATAAACATAATGTATTACTATTGTAGCATATCGATCTTTTTTATGACTTTAATAAATGTTATTCCTTACGTATTGATGCTACAAATGCATCGTGTATGTACACGTGGTAATAAAAAAGATAGGTGTCATAAATTTAACTAGCGGATCCTCTCCATCGTATCATTAAATAATCCGAACATAAATGTATCTGTAAATGTATGTGTTTTCTGTTTTTGAATTAAGTATCAACTTTTTATTTTTGTACATTTTGTTCATATCAAATTTATTTTTTTATATTATTTAAATTGTATGATGAAGAATGTTTAAAGTATTTTTCTATATAATTACAAGATTTGAGAAAATTTTTCAATATTTTATTTCATATTTCTTCTTCTCCTCCCCCCTTTCTCTCTCATTCACTCTCTTTCTCTTTCAGAAACCAAACTTTTGTAAATATATATTTACATTTTTGCTTATTTTTTTCTTCTTTAATATTTTGATAAACATTGGTTTTTCCTCCTATTACGATTACATTTTACACCGCTTTATTTTTGCAAATTGCAACGAATCTAGTTAAACTGGTATACATTTCGCACCAATGCAAAAAAACAAGAGAAAAAAAGCGAAAAATCTAGTTAACATATCCACTCGCGTGGCGCCCCATCGTTAAATTCGCTCGACGGTCCGCAACGAGACTGTTATCCGTTTGTTTGCTTTCTATTTACGGGCGTCGCCTCGTGCGAAATTAAGAGAAATCGTTTGGCTGAGAGTTTGCTTATACAGAGTATTTCGTAGTTTTCTGTAGTTGAGAAATGTCAGTTCCATTTTTCGTTTCCTAGCTTGTAATATATTTTTTTCCTTGTGTAAACAATGAATATAATTTTCCTATTAATTAAACTTTAATATAAATAATTAATTAAATAAACTTTAATATAAACAAATTAAAAATTTATATTTTTACACTGAAAAAAAAAAGATTGGTTGCTGTTACAACAATTTAGAGTAGTAAATTATGGCACAGCATTTTTATATGGCTGCAGTAACCAGTTTTTGGTCGAAATCATATACTGACATTGCGAATAGGCTAACGCAAATAATTTGCTATTACAACCAAAAACTGATTATATAAAATTATACGAAATTATATATAATTATATATAAAATATATCCATATGTATATACTTATATATATAACATTTTATCCCGGGTTAATGGGATGCTGGAATGACCAAATTATTGACATTACAATCGTATAAAAATTGATTGAACGAAATCAAAAATCTTTTTATAAGATTAAGATAAATGCAAAATTAAGAGATAATGCAGTGGATTTTATATTAAAATCGAAAAAAAATGTTAAGTAAGTTTTTAACTTATTTTTTGTTTTAATATAAAGTCTACTGCATCACATTCTAATTTTGCGTCTATTTTAATCCTGTAGAAGGATTTTTCGTTCAATCAATTCGGAGATTTTTATACGTCTGTAATGTCAATAATTTGGTCTAGCATTCCCTTAAGTTACGGAGACCATCGGACGAAAAATGTACTTGTTTTTCGGTCAATGCGCGCCACTAGCAAGGGGTAAATTTGCGTCAGAAGAGAAAATTCACGAGTGGCGTCTCGTGGACTGAAAACTTTCGCGGTTCCCCAGTGTGTCGTTTTACACGGTCGGCGCCGAAAACAAAATCTAGATTGCGAGGGGGTTTAAAGTTCTCCGCGGCGAGATCTTCGATGGAATTGTTATATCTGGTGATGTCGGGTAAATGCAGTTGGGACGACGGCATGTCGTTGAGCGTCGATGGAAGAAAAGCGACAGAATCAATGGGAGCTACAAAGGCAGGAATCTTCGTTTTCGGATCTTCGATCTTTATACAGATATACGAACGTTCGCGTTCTTTCGATTCGTGGTTAGTGAAGAGAAAAATGCCGACAATTCCTCAAGTAATAACAATGAAAGTGGCATTGTTATTCGTATCGTGTTTTATGGGCAACCAAAAGAGAGTGTAGAGTATACAATGATTTATTAACTCCTACGTATTGATACATGCTAAATATATACACAATTAATAATAACACTTATAAAAAACAGATAATATTGAAAATATTTCATACTTCTTGCTTATATAATAGACGTATAAAACATTTCCAATTAAAAATAATTCTTCCACATTGCTATTTTTTCTAAAATTAAATATTATTTATTAATAACGCAAATATTTGGATCTATCGATGCATTTTATTTTTGCACAGCTTTCTATTCTGCGTTATGATGTATACTCTCTCTCTGTCTAGTATATGTATAGGTATATCCTAAGTTCTTAAAATAAACTCAGGTCGATTGTGTAACAACGTCATAATTTTTTACTTCAGCTTTTGCGTGATTTATGGATAAAATTAAAACAATGCTGTTAGTCAGATATAGATGAACGAATTTATAAAATAGATATTGACATTATGTCTGTTAAAACATTTTGATATTCTGATGCTATTTCACAGTCCTGAAATGATCGTGAAATGGACGAATCTTTAAATTTGTAAATAACCTATTTTTAATGGTGTGAAAAATAAACGATAATACATCGCAAATTAGAAATATTGTTATATTATTCTGACAATTAGTAGTACTACGCGGATTACGTTTTTGGTTTGTTTATCATTAACTTTTGATCAAACAAAAGAGCACGCTTGATGGAAGAGAGAGAGAGAGAGAGAGAGAGAGAGAGAGAGAGAGAGAGAGAGAGAGAGAGAGAG